AATTGCATAATTTGAAACCTATTTCAAATGCTATAGGATGACTTCTTTCATGTTCTTCCTCTTATTCCTACTGTTGCTGTTCAATATTTCTGCAGTTTGGTATGGTTTTCAGGATTGCATAACATATTGCTGAATGTTAGACATGATGTCATGTAAAAAATCTTTGTTTTATACTGCTTTCTAATCTTCTTCGATGATTTGATGAAAAGTTAATTCATTAAGTGCCTTACTTGGATTTTGTAGCTCACCGCTGGAGCTCACTTGAAATGGAGATGATTGCTGTGGCATTGCTTTTAGCTGCTCTCCTGGAGCTCTATTTCTATATCCAAGATCTGCAGGAAAAGGTAGCAATGTAAGCATTTGATATGTTTAGTTATAGTACTCCTATTTGGATCATCCGACAAAATCTGTTGGTGCAGATAAAACCGAAGGGGATCTCCAGACTATCGCTAAGGTATGCCTTCAAAGTTATGAGCTCTGTGGTGTATGCAAGGAGTCAAAATGTCTTTACCTTTATTGATAAACGTCTTGATGTTACATACTTTAACAAGATTAAAGCTGAAAACCAGTCAAGTACTCCTGCATTCAAATATGCTTTTTTAGAATCACAGAGGCATATCTCTTTGCAATACAAGAGTGGTTTTGTACATCGGCCGCTCTCCATACCTCATATTGATGAGAATCTCATGCATTACACATGCCTTTGTTCCTATTTCTTTTTCAGTGATTGTTTCCACTCTCCCTCATTTGGTCTTCACTGATAAAACAATTAAGGTCATGATGCATGAATGTCGAATTGTTTATTGAAAACTCACAGATTTCTCCCTTTGCAAACAGTGTTCTTATTTTTAAATAAGGAGCTGCGTATTTACTGGAAGTGATAATTTATGTTTATGACCTTAGCATGCATGGGAAATTCTAGGACATAGTTTGTTTAAATCATGAATTGGCATTTACTATTTTTTTAGCTTGTCTTAAAATGTTGGCTTCTCTCTACACTCATCGACCAACCCCACCTCACTTATTTTTTTTAAAATCATTATTAACAAGGTATTGAATTCATCCAGTAATCTGATTTGCTTAAGATAATATCAGTTGTTGACTTCTAGATGTCAGTCTATGTTTTGAAGGCTAAAATAAATGTCAACAAAAGGGATGTTAATAATCACTGTTAATCTTTTTAGGGTCTATTGAGCTTGCTACAAAGAGGGTGTAAAATATTCCGAATATAGAGGTTTTGAAAATATTGATTTTTAGTTCGAAGTAAAAGCAATGTGAAGTAAAATTTATGGCATTTGGAATACACTAACTAGTTTATTTTTGGCGTATATGGAATTCTTCCGGTTTGGGTGATTTTCAAATACACTGCAAACTCACCGCCTGACGGCAACCTCCGCCTTCCGCCGCCACTGCCCTCCACTACTCCCCTCCCTCCGCCCTCCACTGCCAGTCACCTTAGGTCGGCTACCACCGTTGGACACCTCTGACAGGCCACCACCTTCGGCTGTCACCGAAACCTCTGACCAACCACCATCACCGATCGACAATTAATGCTTGTCGCTACTCTCCATCATTGGCCAGCCACCAGCGCCGGGGGCTGCTAGACACCTTCAGTCGACCACCACTATAGGACGCCGTCTAACACCTCAAACTAGCCACCACTGCCCACTGCTACTCTCCACCGCCGGGAGCCATGAACCACTGCCGGCCGCCACCGCCGCCACCACCACTAGCTGATCGCAACCGCCGGCCATCACCTGCTACCCTACGTTGCTGCGGACCACCACTCGCCACCGCTTGCAACCACCTAACACGGCAGGATGCCAACCATTGCTGACCACCTCGGCCAAAACCTTTTTGTACTTTACATTGCATGTACTCAACTTCAAACCAAACAAAAAAGTAATGTCATGCATTCCATTTACAATCTTCCAAAGTATTCTTTTTACATCACATTTTTTTTACACTACATTCTTTTTTCAAGCCATCAAATACAACAACAACAACATCAAGCCTTTATCCCACTACGTGGGGTCGACTACATGAATCCTTTTTCTCCATTGTGTCCTATTAAAGGTCAAATTCTCATTTAAATCTAATAAAGAAAGGTCATTCCTAATATTTTCTAACCAAGTCTTTTTAGGTCTGCCTCTTCCTTTCTTAACATAAGTCAAATCTAAAACCTCTACTCTCCTAACCGGGTCATTGGAAGGCCGCCGTTTTATGTGACCAAACCATCTAAGGCGACTCTCTCTAATCTTATCTTCTATTGGAGCTATTCCAACCTTTTCACGTATATACTCATTTCGTATCCTATCTCTAAGGGTAAAGCCACTCATCCACATCAGCATCCTCATCTCTGTCACACTTAACTTAGTATTATGCTTCTCTTTTAGTGGCTAACATTCAGCACCATAAAGCATTGCAGACCTCACTACCATCTTATAGAATTTTCCCTTAAGTTTGAGGGGTACTTTTCTATCACACAACAAGCCCGATGCATTCCTCCACTTCAACCGTCCAACTTGAATTCTGCTGATTATATCTCCATCTATTTCACCATCACTCTGAACAAGATCCAAGATATCTAAAATGTGTACTCTTATTAATGACTTGATCGCCCAAAGTCAAAATCCCCTCACTATGTCTATTACTACTAAAATTACACTCCATATATTTTGTTTTAGATCTACTCAAGCGAAAACCTTTAGACTCTAAGGTTGACCTCCATAATTCAAGTTTACCTTCAACTCCCTCTCTAGTCTTATCAACAAGAAGAATATCATCAGCAAAAAGCATACACCAAGGTACATCCTCTTGCAAATGTCTAGTGAGAACATCCATGACTAAAGAAAAAAGATATAGGCTTAAGGCTGATCCTTGATGTAACCCAACCGAAATAGGGAAATACTTGGTCAAACCACCTTGTGTTTGAACACAAGTAATAGCTCCTGCATACATATCTTTAATGATTTGAATATAAGCATTATTGACTCCTTTCTTTTCAAGAACTCTCCATAGCACTTCTCTTGGAACTTTATCATATGCTTTTTCTAAATCAATAAATATCATATATAGATCCTCCTTATTTCCTCTATATTTTTCCATCAAACCTCTGAATAAATGTATGGCTTCCATAGTCGACCTACCCGGCATAAATCCAAATTGATTTTGAGAAACATTAGTATCACGCCGCAACCTATGCTCCAAAACTCACTCCCATAGTTTTAAAGTATGACACATTAACTTAATACCTCTATAATTCGTGCAATCCTGTGCATCACCTTTATTCTTAAAAATAGGAATTAACACACATTCTCCACTCATCTGGCATCTTTTTAGTCTTCAAAATAGTATTAAAAAGTTTAGTAAGCCAAGAAATCCCTTCATCTCCTAAGCATTTCCACACCTCTATTGGAATATCATCAGGTCCAACAGCTTTTCCACCCTTCATTTTATTTAAAGCCTCTCTAACTTTTTCCCAGTTATCAGAATTTTTAAAATTAAACTAATTTTTATAACAAATCTTCTTATTCTTAATCCATGCACATTTGGATTCCACCACCAACTATTTTTACTATTAAATACTTTTCCCTTTGATACTCCAAACACATCTTTTGCAATATTCTTAATATTACTAGCCACTTTTTCCCACATAACATTAGCATCCTCATGCACAGATAAAATCTTAAGATCTAAAATCTTACTCTAAAAAATATTTTTGTTAATATTCTTTAAATGCCCCAATCTAATCCTAGAATATAATTTTACTTTATTTTTTATTATTTGTTCCTTTATCTTAAAGTCCAAACTAATAATCGATGTTTGGTACATAAATTTTCACTCAGAATAACTTTACAATTTTTGCAATGTAAACGATCTAATTTTCTTATAAGAAAATAGTCAATTTGGGTTATACTATATCCATTTTTATAAGTGATGAGATGCTCATTCATTTTCTTAAATAAGGTATTAGCAATTTAAAAATCATAAGCTAAACAAAAATCTAATATGGTCTTGCCACCTTCATTTGTTGTTCCAAAACCATAGCCACCATGAATGCTTTTAAAATCATCTACCTCTCTACCAACATGCCCATTTAAATCTCCTCCAACAAAAACTTTCTTCTAGAAATATATTTTGTAATAATTTTTCTAAGTCATTCCAAAAATTTAATTTAGAACTCATATCCAAACCTACTTGAGGAGCATAAGCACTTATAAAATTAACAATCTTATCATCAACAACAATCTTTAAAACTATAATTCTATATTCAATCATATTAATTTTTATAACATTATTATTCAAACTCTTATCTATAATAACACTTACACCATTTCTAGTACGACTCCTACCCGAATACCAAAGTTTAAATCCTAAACTATTAATTTCCTGAATGCACAAAATATTTATCTTCATATGAATCATAATATCTATTAATTCTATTAATTTTCCTGTAAGAGAACCTATATTCCAAGTTCCTATCCTAATTTTAGTTTCATGGACTAGCTTCTTTGCTTACATCCGTCCTTGATGTGGGAACCCTTGCCTATTTAACACTGCACCTGGGCGCCGGTGCAGCGGCCTTTGCACACTTGCCACTGTATTCAGACCATACAGCGCGTCGCTTCCAGGGGACGCCCTAGCATTAACACAATTTATTAAAGGATTTATATCATTATTATTCGATAAGTTTTATGTTGGTTGTCGACTACCTAACACAACCCTTCACTTTTCTCATCCAGGACTTGGGACCTGGCACAGTAGTTTTAATAAAACTTTTCAGGCCATCAAATAGTTTAGATAAAATAAAATAAAGCTAATATATTGTTTTTGATAAATAGTATTGTTATCTAGATGACATTGCTATCAATGCAACAATGAACCAAACAATCCTAAAAATCTTGCTGATAGAAGTGTATCACCTAACTTTTTATTTGCTGATGCCACTACAAGTCTCAATTTTTTTTATTGTCCTTTTTGTCTTTAGAAACTGAAAACATAATAAGAGGGATGACTGCTGGATTATTGTCAAAGACTAGGTTCTGTTTTAAGACTTGCTTTTAATTTCTATCCAAGTTACCATTTCCCGATCTTCTGTGCTAAATCACTGAAACTATATTGCAATTTGTTCTCCCCATGCAGGTATATAATGTAACTCCATATGTGGAAGAACATCCAGGCGGGGATGCCATTTTGAATCATGCTGGAGGCGATTCAACTGAGGGCTTTTTTGGGTTTGCACCTGTTATAGTTCAAATTATTATAGATCAAATTATAACTTCTTGGACATTATATTCCATTTTTCATCCTCAAACATTTTTCTTGTATGACTTTTAATTAATATTGTGAGCATATAAATTGTGGGCAATATATTTGGCCCGCCTTATTTAAGGTTCAATTAGGCATTATCGAGATGCCCCCATGACCACCTTTACTTATTAACACATCATCTAGAAGAGTTGCAGGTGATCAGGGCACAACTTTGTTCCTAGGTTGATAGAAACCAAAGTCTCTTTTAACTGAGAACCAAGGGAGCATTGGGGAATAGCTGCTAAGGACTTGAGAGTATAACAATTGAGAATCCGATACCCAAGATATTAGATGAACACTAGGGTTCGATGATTGAGGACTATATTATTGTTAAATTCAAAGAATTGGAGAGGAAAAATGCTTAATTTTATTGCATAAAGCTCTCCCTATTTATAAATCTATATAATATATCTTAATAATGAAGCAAATAATTACAGAATAATGCATAATTTTACTAATATAATCTATCCTAAATCAGCCACCTAAATATGGAAGGAGATTGGTGTAGGTGACCCTCCCACGAATCCCCATGTTGGCCATGGAATCAAGAGGGAAGGGATGGCTAGGACAATATTGGACACTCCCCCTCAAGCTGGGCAATACAGATTTGCCATTTACAGCTTGTTAATTAGTTTCATAAAGGTAGAGTTATCAAGTAATTCGATAAAAATATCTGCAAGTTGATCTTTTGATAAGATATGATAAATACAAATAAGTTTACTATCCAATTTCTTATGTATGAAATTTTTATCCACTTCTATATGCTTGGTCCTGTCATGTTGAAGTGGATTGTAAGCTAATGTTGATTGATGATTTTTTGTCACAATGTAGCTTCATGGGTTATTCCCCCTTGATCCTTAAGGTCTTCTAGCATTATCTTGATCCATTTTAGCTCATATATGCCTGAGGTCATAACTCTAAAACTTGCCTTTGCATTAGACCTTGTCACCACATTATGTCTCTTGCTCCTCCATGTAACTATGTTTCCTCCAAGGAATGTGCAGTTCTTGAGGTAGATCATCTATTTGCTGGTGATCTTGCGTAATTTGTTTCAGTATAAGCTTCTGGGGTTTTTCCACATTCTCTTATGAAGAGAATCCTCCTTTGATTTCCCTTGAAGTAGTGCAGTATTCTGTCTACTGCTTGCATGTGAGTATGCTTTGAATTCTACATGAATTGTCTAACTATGCTTACAACAAAGGCTATATATGCTATAGTGTGAGAAAGGTAGATCAATTTACTCACAAGTCTATGATATGCTCTCTTATCTATGTTTGGATCCTTTTTAGCTTCCTCCAATTTGATATTTGGATCTACTGGTGTGTTGATGCTAGTTTACAAGCTAGTTTACTTGTTTCTTTAAGAAGATCAGTAATGTATTTCTGTTGTGAAATGAAGATTCCTTTGCTGGAGTTGGTCACTTCAATTCCTAAAAAACATTTCAATCTACCAAGTTTTTTTATCTCAAATTTCTTGGCAATATATTTCTTTAGAATCACGTTCTCCTTTTCATCATTCCCTGTCAAGATAATATCATCCATATAAACTAACAAAACTATGACTACCCCTAAGTCAGAGTGCTTGAAGAATAATGTATGGTCCCCTTGGCTCTGCGATAACCATTTAGTAGCATAACTTTTAAGAATCTTTCAACCCAAGCTCTAAGTGATTACTTTAACCTATATAGTCTTTTTTAACATACACACTTTGTCACCCCCAGATTTTTTCTTGAATCCTGGTGAAATCTCAATACTTATTTTCTTTCTCGAAGTCCCCATATAGGAATGCATTTTTGACATCTAGTTGTTCTAGATGCCAGTTATAATTAATTGGTAGTAAGTGCAGGATACTCACAATGAGCCATGCTTGCGGCATCATTGTCACAATCATTGGTCGGAGGCACAATCATTGCGCCGCCAACCAATGATTGGCCGCAGTCCCGCTGGCCAATCCGACTGTGCCAAATGGCAGCCCGTGGTTTTTCCTGCTTTTTTTTATTTTAAATATTTTAAAGCTGTTTTCACTTAAAAATTTGCCAAAAATTTCAATATTGGGCCAAAAAATACGTGCAATACCTCGAATTGTTCGTATTCGCGGCCCCGTTATTTTAAATTTTTTTTAATTAAAAATGTTATGTATATTTTTGAATATTAATAAAACAGTAAAAATGACTTTTATTTTAATTTGTTTTTTTTATTATTATCTTATTATTATTAATAATATTATAATATATTATTGTTGACCACTATGTTTTACTGTTTTAATGTTATTATAATTATGTTTTAATTATTGTTATTATTATTATTACTTTATGGTTAAAGTTATTTTCAATTATATTATTATTATTATTATTATTATTACTATTATTATGTCATTATTTTGGAACTATTATAATAATCTTTATATGTTGGTTAACATTATTATTTTTTAATTGTTTTAATTAATTATTATTTAAACTTGATGATTTACCATTATATATTTAGATAATTCTATATACTTTCTTGTTATTATTATTTAAGTTTTTTTTAATTATTATCATTATTTTGAGATTATTGCTTCATTATTTATTAAATTTGTATTATATTTCAGAAATCACATTATTTAAATTAACCTTATTTATAATTTTTTTAATACTATTATTTTAAAACTATCTTAAAGTTAGTCTAATTTGTTATTAAATCTTCAAAATTCATAACCTTCCCGTTTTTAAATCGGATTTACGTATGACCCCTTGAATATTTTTCAGAAAAATATCTATTTTATTTTAAAATTATTTCCAGAATTGGTTTTGCTTTTCTAACAGATTTCTGTTTGGATTTGCTACTTTGAGTATTTTTTCTATAATATTTGAACTTTAACTAAAAGTTTCTTTGTCTGGCCTTTAACAAACATGAACCTTAGGCAAATTTAGCTAACTACCCAGCTTAGGACATATCCAAGCCACACAAGCCTTAAACTTAGAATTGTTTGCTAGGGAACCACTTCTAGACTTAGGCTAGGCCGGTGTTTATTTCTTTCTGTTGTGTTCCGGAGTTTTCCATAGTTTTCACTGCATGTTGTGATGAATTGAATTGCTGTGTTTGCTTACTTTTATTGCACTCTGGATATGAAGTGATGGGCATTAGATCTATCTTAGGTTAGGAGCATCAATAATATATATATATATATATATATATATATATATATATATGCACTATTCTTCTTGCAGGTGGTCATGCTCATGCAATGCTAAAAGGGGGCATTATCATGATTTCTGACATTGTCTTATGCTGGTGCTTGCTCAGCCCCCCTAAATAATTAATGGCTAAATAAAATAATTATAACTGCTACAGGTGGACTGCTTAGCCCTCATAATTAAGAGTATGACTTGACACAACTTCAATGGATTGGTTTGAATTTTATATAAACTGCTTGAGATGATTTTTATTATGATAACCTTGTAGGGACTTTAAAATTTACTGTTTTTCAATTAATATAAAATTTGTAATATTATAAAGAGTCGTGAAGGTGTACTTTGAGTGTGGATATTCTTATTCAACTCGAATTCCAAAAGAAGAAGGCATCCCTGAAGGGGAGAGTCTTCTTGCATTTGAAAGATCGAGTTGAATGACTTTAGATATCCAAAGAGAAAAGGAAATACTACCTAAAGGGGTAATTGTCTCTTCATTTGGATATTCAAGCCACGACGGATTCTAGGAGTCTAAGGAGGAGAGATCCAAGGAGTCCAAGGAAGATGATCCAAGGAGTCCAAGGAGAAGAGTTCCAAGGAGTCCAAGGAGAAGAAGACTGAAGACTGAAGATTGAAGACCTAATATCCCACTCAAAACCATTTGCTTCTGTCATAGGCTTAGAAATCCGAGTTGTTGGCAGTGGTGCTCGGCCACTTTATTTTTTGCAGACCCTAGTTTGTAATAAGGGCAGTTTGTCTATGAATATTTAGTTGATTTGTTGGATTTATATTGATGTGCTTACCTGATTGCGCATTAGAAATTACTTGCTTTTTCTATGTTTATTTATTGCATGCCGATTTTGTTTTAGCCTGGATTTCGTTAGGCTCTTATAAGGATTATAAAATATTTTATACTCATAACTAATATCTAAAAATTTAAGTTTAAATAATATGGAAACTTAACGAACTTAGGGAACTGCCGGAATCGTCCAGGGTCGCATGCATATTAATGCATTCTTATTTCTCCTTTTAATAAGACATCTCCCTGCATGCGGGTAGAGTCCGGATAATCTAGCCTATGAGGATAAAGTGTCGGACCTAGGGAGACCCAGTCTTTTCTAAAAATTATTTTCTAAAAGCCTATTTTTTTAAAATCTTATGCATACCTGATTTGGAAACTTCAACTAGCATGCATTACATTAGTAACCAACTAAATAAAATTTTAATTGCATTAGTTAGGAGCATTTACCCAATATAAGTCCATGACCAATTAAGAAACTCTCTAGATGTCAGTCCTATTTCTTGAAACTGTACCACCTACCCATCTCACATAATTGACTTGACATTATGGTTTTAAAGTAATTAAATGGTTAGCTGACTCCCCAATCCAGGTCGGGGTAAGTCCAGGTTCTGCATTGCATTAGTTAGGACACGGGTGTTTGTGTGTGTAGAACACTAAACCCAACCTAGATCTAGGATCCGAGACTACTACACTCGGTCTCGTAGTAAGCCTAAATAGTAGGTAGGTCTCTCCTCTCCAGGGACTATAAATCCTACTTATCTGCATCATAGGATGATGTTACCTCCATCTTTTCTCTCACGCATGTGTCGATTGCTTGATCTTTTATTTTCTCCAATTTCTCTTTAGTGTCCTAGGTCCGAGTGCTGGTGTGAACCACGCATGTTGATTTAGCCCTTTGGGACCCTTCTTCTCTTTTGAGTAGGACTTCTTAGTTTATACCCTCATGCCAATCTCAATTTTGGAAAGGATAATGTATGATCCTTAATCGAGAGTCTTTTCGGGCTCCGGCCTGGGATGTAATTAACCACGGGGGCTTACGCCCGTGGGAGACTCAGTCCCACATCTACTAAACCCCACCCGAGCTGTCGTATCGGGTGGGGGAAACCCGTGATTAGGTCGGGTATATTACTACCCATCGGGGTGTGTTGGGGAGAGACTCTATCCGCAATGGTTAGTCGTATGCACGATCCAATATGTCGACCTGTTCGTGTCGAGTGTAGAGGCCTACGTTCGTTTTGTCATACGGGATAGTGCGGCCGTACCCTCTGCGTTCGTACCCCACGAGCGGTGCTCTTTCAGAGGTCCACAGCCACAGGTGCAAAAGTTCATGTTAGTCAATCTTGAACGTCTGAGTGTATCCTTCTGGTACCAATCTTGCCTTATATATATATTTTTGTGTACCATTAGCTTATATTTCATAGAGAACACCTATTTACAACTGACTGGTTTTTTTTCTTATTGTAGATTGGTGATCTCCTAGGTATTAATCTTTTTCAGGACTTGTATTTCATCATTCATGACACTTTCAATTTTTGTCAGTAAGGCCTCAAAAATATTATTAGGAATATGAATATTATTTATTGTAACTTGGAAAATTTTGTGTGAAGGTGAGAAATTATGTAGGGATACAAAGTTGGTTACGAGGTGCACAGGAGGTTTTTTAGGTGAACTTATTTTTACCTCAATTTTAGGGGACAGGTCAGATTCTTGGATATTCTCTGAAGCTTAGTTTGGATTTGTATGCAACTATGCATGGAATATATATATCCAAATCTCATTTTATCCATAATAACTTTGTCCTTAATTTCCCTGACTTTGGTTTTAGATTTGGGTGGATCGATTTGAGGTGAAGCTGGAAAGTCAATTGGGGCAAGCTCACTTTCCTCACTTCAGTTTTAGTCTCCCCCTGAAGATAAGGTTTGGTTAAATAGGGTTTTTATTTGTCAAAAGTGATGCCAACAGTTAAAAGGATCTTTTTTGGGTGGTGGGGTGATAGTACTTATGACTTCTCTAGGTGGATGAATTTCTAACAAAGTTACACTTAGTGCTCTTATATCTAATTTTTTTGCTAATTTGCCTATGAATTTGAATATATGCAGTGCACCCAAAGATTCTGGGTGTGATTGTTATGAGTTCGGACTTTAGGGTAAAAAAAGAATAAGATATTCATTAGTGTTTTTAGTCTCAAGATTTTTTAAGGTAATCTGTTTATGAGATATGTGGCAGTCGAAAGGGCTTCACCCCAATAGGATTTGGGTTCATTGTGGTGGAATAAAAGTGCATGGGTGGAGGCAAGAAGGTGGCCATCTTTTTTTTTCTGCAACTTTATTTTGCTATAATATTGAATAAAATCTTGATCTTACTTTTTGAATTTTAAATTTTCAATAAAATCAAACATTATTTAGAACAAGCTTCTTGTTTATGATAAGTGTTGATGTCTTTTGGAATGAGACCCAGGTGATAATTGCAAGATGCAACTTGTGGTTATGGGGCTCTCTAAAGATGTAAAACCTAAGCCTTAAAAGCCTTGGATAAGATTGATGCAGACATCCAACCGTCCATGCCTATCTGAGGAGCTAAAGATCGACGACCGTGATCGTCCTACATTATCTTAAATTTTTATTTGTAATTTTTATTTTAATTATGCATTTTCTATTTTTACTCTTACTTAAGGGTTTAATCTTATGTAATCCCTAGGGGTATGATCCTCTTATTTTAGTTTCTTTTATTTCTGGATTATATATAGAGGCTCTTGCTAGTGTAATAGTATGATGGAGTTTTAATAAAAATTTTGTTTTGCACTTTTGTTCCTTAGGAGGACTTAGGTGAGATCCCTATGAGAGGGAATCATATTTTATACCAGCCGCAGGATGGGTCTGAGCTCATGGTTTGAAGTCCCTTAATGAAGGGCAACAGAAGACTCGTCAGTCGCAGGAAGCGTCCGGGCTCACAATTTTCTTTGTTTTTGTTTCTCTTTATTTTTTTTTATAATCTCCATCTCCATCCTCTCTCCAATCCAGCCGGCTTCATCCCCTCCACCCAAACCCGGCGGCCTCTTCCAACAATCCTCTCTTCTTCCCCAACAAAATTCCCCATCCCCCTCCTAACCTAATCGGCCATCTTCCCCCAACCTCCAAACCGCCAACACCCTCACAAATCCTAACCTTAATACCTCCATAGCCGTCAGACACCTTCTTTCTCCCATAGACTCCCATAATTTCATCTTGTATCCTATTTTATACATCTTAATTTAGTAGTGAATTCAAATTCAAAATTCAAATTAATTTGAATTTGAATTTGTTTCATAAATTAGTATTCTTATTTTAGGAAAGTTGTTTAAATTAAATCCAATTAAATTTCTGATTGGATTTGATTTCAATTAATCTTCCTCAATTTCAGATTCCAATTAAGGCCCACTCTAATTTACTTTCCCTAAACCCTCTCCTCTCTCTACTCGCCACCCCCTCTCTCATATCTCCTCTCTCTACTTAATTAATGCTTCTCCATTAAGGGCCCCCAATCTCACTCATATTTAATTAATTCCTTCCCAAAAAAAGGGAACTCCATTTAAGGGATTAATTAAGTACCCCTTCCATCTCTTTTCCATTTAGTTTGAAATTCAAATTTCAAATGACCCCCTCCCCCCAATATCCGTTCTACATCAGTTTGGTATCAGAGCATAGTTGCTCACCTGGGAAGTGAACTTAATGGAGTCGGGCTCTTTTTCACACCGAGAGAATGATGCGGACATCCAACTATCCATGCCTATCTGAGGAGGAGGTGAAGATCGACGGTCGTGATCCTCCTACATTATCTTAATTTTTTATTTGTAATTTTTATTTTAATTATGCATTTTCTATTTTTACCCTTAAGGGTTTAATCTTATGTAAGCCCTAGGGGCATGATCGTCTTATTTTAGTTTCTTTTATTTTTGAGGCTTATATATAGAGACCCTTGCTCATGTAATAGTATGATGGTGTTTTAATAAAAATTTTGTTCTGCACTTTTGTACCTTGGGAGGATTAGGTGAGATCCCTATGGGAGGGAATCGTATTTTCCACCAACCGTAAGATGGGTCCGGGCTCGTGGGTTGAAGTCCCTTGGAGAAGGACAACACAACACCTGTCAGCCACAGGAAGTGTCCGGGCTCACAGGTTTCTTTGTTTTCGTTTCTCCTTATTTTTTTCTGATTGCAATCTCCATCCTCCTCCAATCTTGCTAGCTTCATCCCCTCCACCCAAATCGGCCGGCCTCTTCCCACAACCCTCTCTACTTCCCCACCGAACCCCATCCCCCTCCTAAGTCTAACCTGCTATCCCCCCCTCCCTCCAAACTGCCAAAACCCTCACAAACCCTAACCCTAATACCTTCATAGCCGCCGACCACCTTTTTTCCCCTATTTGCTCCCACAATTTCATCTTGTATTCAAAGCCTTCCTATTTTATATATCTTAATTTGGAAATGAATTCGAATTCAAAATTTAAATTAATTTGAATTTGTTTCCTAAATTAGGATTCTTATTTTAGAAAAGTTGTTTAAATTAGGTTCAATTAAATTTCTGATTAGATTTGATTTCAATTAATTTTCCTCAATTTCAGATTTCAATCAAGGCCCACTTTGATTCTCTTTCCCTAAACCCTCTCCTCTCTCTACCAGCCGCCCCCTCTCTCCTATCTCCTCTCCCTACTTAATTAATGTTTCTCCATTAAGGCCCCCAATCTCTCTCCTATTTTAATTAATTCCTTCCCAAATAAATAGAACTCTATTTAAGGGATTAATTAAGTACCCATTCTCTCCCTTTTCCATTTAGTTTGAAATTCAAATTTCAAATGACGCCACCTCCCCCCTGTACAAGATTCCCCCTGAGCCCCCCAATATCTGTTTTACATCAAGGGTCTCTCTCTCTCTCTCTCTCTCTCTCTCTCTCTCTCTCTCTCTCTCTCTCTCTCTCGATCTCGATCTCTCTCTCTCGATCTACACAGCTCTAAGTATCTCCTAAACTTAAAAGACATTGAAATCCTTGATGCCAGCTTATGTCATTGTCTTTGACACGTCTTCCAATGCCTTGATTGATTGGTTTCCTTTTGCTCATGCATCTCAAAATGATTCTGTCTACAAGGCTGCAAAATTTACTCCGGATGAATATGGTATGATTAGTTTATCACCTTCCCATGCATTGATTGTTTGGTTTTCCTTCTGAGTTATATGCCTCCAAAATGCATGTCTGAAAGGCAGCAAAATTTTCTTAGGACCCAAATGGGGGATTTTAAATGAAAGAAGGCAGATGACTAGAAGCATACTTGCTGAGAATGTTCATGCTTTTCATGTATGACCTACCTGATTTGCTGTAACTAGAAATGGAAATGGATTGTCTTCCACGTTGGTTGTTTAATGCAGAGATTTTTTAACTAGATTTTGTAATTATGCTAACATTTATTCAATTTTAAATGCAACAAAAACATTTAAGCAGATATTTGATTCAAACTCCATCAGTGTTCAGTAGGAAGAAGGCATTTCATGTGGTTATATATCATACATCTTGCAAAGAGTATACAAGCCTTGAAATAGAAAATCCGTTTAACTACTAGGCTATTTACCTATTTTCTTTTCAGTTTCTTGCAGCCCACAGCATGCAACTGACATGGTTGATGAGTTCTATATTGGCGATGCGAAGCTTTGAGGTCCGTATTTCACTATTTACCAAGCTTTGAGCAATGTTTAATATTGCATATTCAGGTATTGAGGAGTTTTTCATTCGTGAGGCGAGGCGTAAGCCTCAAGGCGTTTTGAGGCATAAGCCTCAAAATCAAAAGATTGCGTAAACATAAAATGATAAATTTTTTATATACTAATGAGTGAATAATATAAAACATAAAGAAACATAAGATATGAAGTGAAATCAAAATATCCCAATAATAAGACAACATGAAATATAGTTTAACTCAAAATTCTATCTTTCCCAAATCCCAATATTCTTTTCATTAACATATGATTTCAATTTCCAAAAATAAATAGCAATGACATATCACATAAGAACTCTTAAGTCATCAGCACTGTCATCACTAAGGAGTTCTTCATTTGAATCATCGTCATTATGATGAACTGCTCTCGCCCCTTCCTCCTCATCATCATTATGATGAACTGCTCTCGCCCCTTCCTCCTCTCCTATAAAGTCCAATGTTGGACATTTACTTCAAGATTTATGTAAGTTTTAATATATATAGCGTGAGGCGTAAGCCTCATGCTAGTGAGGCGAGGCGGGCCTCAACCAAGTTGAGGCGCAAGCCTCATAAAAAAAACTTGAGGCATAAGCATCGAGGCGTTTTTTACTGGAATTTCGCAAAGGCGGGCCTCAAGGCGAGCCTCATATTGCGCAATTTTAAACCATGGCTTTGAGGTCCGTATTTCACATGAAGATTTATCTGTGCAATGATGAAATAATTGCATTACTGAAGCTTATGCTCCTTTGTTTTGTTGAACACTTTTGTTCCATTCATTGGACATTTGTATTGAAAATTCAATTCTCAAACTAAGAAAATCCACTTAATTATTCAAAACCTTTTTGCCAACTCAAACGCTTTAGCGTACATAGTTTGTGATATGATATCTATTAACAAAATGTAAAAAGGATTACTATTTATATAGTAACCCTAATAAAATAATGATGCAAACATTGTATTTCCTTTCCCTAGGATTGTATCTGTTACTGCTACATGTGTTTTACGTTTCTTTCTTGCTTTTTATGGGTTTTTAGGGCATTGTAAGAATAAGCGATTCTTTTTTGGTTGTTTCCTTAAATGCCTATGTGCTGGAATTCATGAAACTTGATGTATTTGATCATATTCTAACAGATTATGAAAATTAAGTATATTTGTTTTTTTATTATAAATAGGATCCATGACATATATAAAATTCATCTAGTAATGAAAAAAATTTCTAATTGTTCTCATTTTTTTCCTGTGCTGGTTCAATGTGTATTTTATGAGCATTTTGTAGTAGTTGACAACTTTTTGCGGTGAGTTTAGACGAATTCATCAATTTGAAGATTAGATGCCGATGAATTCTTTATTTGAATATAAAAAGTTGAATTAATTCTTGAATTAAAGAGGTACCGTAATATCACATCGTTAAATTTGTGATAATCAAGCTAAAGAAAAACACATCTCCATGGTGGGAGAGTTCAGAGCGAACACTGCAGTGAGAAGGAAGAGTCAAGATCACCTCTTGGACCAAGATGAAGAAGGAAATGCAGCGGAAAATCTTATCAGAACAACTATTGACAAGACATGTTTATGTGACAACATAATTTACAACAACAAGAATTCTCTGTTCAGAGCTTTGTCATGGAATTCAAGTAGTTGGGTTTGAAATGCAACTTGAATGAGCCGGAGTGGAATACAATTCCTCTATTTTTTGCTAATGTGGCTCAGTTACAACTTTATTGGACACTTGTGGGTGTCATCAATCTAGCTCTCAAAGTGGAGAGACAGCAGCGACCTGACAAATAGCAGAAATAGGTTGGGAAGGGAACCGAAAATCCTAGGGGAATTTGATTCAAGAACTCTATGTCAGGTAGACAAACCGAAGGATTAATTCGTGAAGGTCTCCTAGGCCTGGTAGGACCAACAACAACAGCAAATTTGCCTGTTTGGAATGTTTTAAATGCCACAGCTTTGGGCATGGAGAATAATATTGTCCAAATCGGTGAATTGTTTTACTGGTAGTAGAAGCAGTGAAAGAATTGATAATACCCAATGATTTAAGCAAAGAATCCAGGCGGAGAGCAAATTTTATATGCTGATGACTGAGAGTTGCTGGTAGTTTAACCCATCCTGAATATCCAATATGAAAAAGAGAATGAGTGGCTTCTTCACAGCATCTTCCGAATGCGGTGTATCGTTCAAGGCAAGGTTTGCAATCTTGTAATTGATAAGAGAATATGTGAGAATGTGGTTTCCAGCCTTAATAATGAAGAAATTAAATCTTCCAATTATACCCCATCCGAAGCCATATAAACTATCTTGGCTCAAGAAGGAAAATGAGATATCTGGGACCAAACAATGCTGCGACGGCCCTTGACAATTTGACTGCAGAACCAAGCATGATGGGTTTCTTAATACTTATTCATTCCACAAAGACGACACCTCTATTATGTGGATGCCGTTGAAGTTGACTGTGCCCATTGAAAGCAAAAGCTATATAATTTTTCCTCAATCTGTGGGCTCCGAAAATTCGGCCCCGGCCTCCGCCTGTTGTGTGTGCTTTTTCTTTTGCGATGGGGGTTTTAGCGGATTTAAGTTTCGGGGTAAATTTTGGGAAGGCAGATGGGTTTGTAGATAAGACACTACCCAAAGATTTCGCACTCATTTTGTGAGGACTTTATGATATGAGTTCTGGTTTCCTATAGGCGCAAGCCCCTATATTTAATTACCCCTTCCGATCACGAGAGAGAACTTTCGATTAAGGCTAGTCGTCAATCAGATACAAAGAGATACATGCATCTGGCATATAATAGCAGCATGGATTTGAATTTTGAAAATTTTGGAAGTTTGGAAATTTTGGAAGATTTGATATTTAAAATAAAAATTTCACCATCTCATACTCAAAGAGGAATGGTGGGGAATGGATGATGGATCGAAAGATCCCATGGTTTCGTCATCCTGAGCCATCATGATCCCTGGTCTACTTAGTCAGAAGAGGTAGTCAACCCAACCTGACAGAAGGATCCTTGTCACTAGCCATGGGTTGCTTTGTCCAAGGGGACCTTGTAGACATGGGGTGAATGTTTGTCTAAAGGGACAAATTTGAATCCATCTTAGCTAACAGAGGGCTTTGTGCCCTATCAATCATATCCCATTGATTCATATCTCAAGGATTTGATGCTATTAAGGAACGTATTGACTCTGGTCATAACCGGTATTTCATGGTGTCATTTGGCGGCAAAACCACTCGGTTCAGAGGGCCCCGGGTCATAACCGTTTATCCTGCGGTGTTATTTGGCGGCAAAATTGCCGGTCAGAGGACACGTATCACGTCCTTACTGGCAGGAGATTGTTTGAGAATAGATCCTAGTGATATTTTCGACTAGGCATTTTGCTCTTTGTGAGCTGAAGTAGTTTTCAATTTGTCCACCCCGGCAAACTGTTGCGGAGGGTAGATGGATTTTGCTTTAAGTGTTTGATGAATTTATTTCAATTTTAAATATCTGGATTTTGAGATTTTTGGATATTCAGGATGACATTTTGAAATTGTTTGTGAACCCCTCCGGTTGAGATAAACATTCAACATGGCCATCATAGGGGTGTTATTCGGGGTCGTTTCCATTTAAAAATATTTTTATTTTGTGGATGAACCTTATCAACTCTGTTGAGCTGTTAACAGAGGATCGGGTTTCATGCCTTTGTTTGCGAATTTTCTTTGTTAAAGGCCTTGAAGGGCTAATATGAATGTATAAAATAAATATTCCGATCAACTTCGTGACCGTATATTTATCTGATTATTTGAATCTTGTCTACTCCTATTTAGCTGCTTAGGAGGATCGGGTTTCGTAGGCTTTGTGCATTTGTTAGTGAATTCTCATTGTTATAGGCCTTGAAGGGCTAATATGAATGCAGTTAAAACAAATATACTGGTCGCAGCAACCGTATATTTGTTTGTTGGTTCGAACCTTGTCGACTCCTATTTATCTGTATAGAAGGATCGGGTTCAAAATTGAATTCACTTTTTGACCCGTGCTGCATCCCTAGACGTCGTGTTTATATCTAAAACACGCTCGTCGGGGCCCATGCGAGTGTTTGGGGGCATTTTGTGATTATTGGTTGAACCTTGTCGACTCTTATTTACTTGCTTAGGAGGATCGGGTTCAAATTTATTAACTCATGCAGCGTCCCTTGACGTAACGTGTGTACCAATAACACGCTCGCCAGTGTTTATACAAGTGTTTGTAATTATACTTACCCCTTGTCTACCTATGTGTATACAAATTATGGTGCACGTGCGGGGGTATTTTGGACATCTAATGGGCCTTCTATGATAGCCTATAGAGGTTTGCAGTCATTTGTATTTGTTATGTATCATCTGCTTCTGCTGGTAGCAATGTTTAAAATTGCGTATTCGGGTATTGAGGCGTTTGTCATTCGTGAGGCGAGGCGTAAGCCTCAAAATCAAAAGATTGCGTAAACATAAAATGATAATTTTTTTATATACTAATGAATGAATAATATAAAACATAAAAAAGCATAAGATATGAAGTGAAATCAAAATATCCCAATAATAATACAATATGAAATATAGTTCAACTCAAAATTCTATCTTTCCCAAATCTCAGTATTATTTTCATTAAAATATAATTTCAATTTCCAAAAATAAATAGCAATGACATATCACATAAGAACTCATAAGTCATCAGCACTGTCATCACTAAGGGGTTCTTCATTTGAATCATCATTATGATGAACTGTTTCTCCCCTTCCTCCTCTCATATAGAGTCCAATGTCGGGCATTTACTTCAAGATTTATGTAAGTTTTAATATATATAGCGTGAGGCGTAAGCCTCATGCTAGTGAGGCGAGGCGGGCCTCAACCAAGTTGAGGCGCAAGCCTCATAAAAAAACACGAGGCGTAAGCATCGAGGCGTTT